CCCCCCCCCCCCCCCCCCCCAATAGCTTTTGCATTGAAATTGGCATTGATTGAACATGAAGAACAGGCTGATTTATGTATAAAAACCTCATTGTTGCTGCTTTTCCCCCCTCACCACTTTGTTAATCATCCTTCCCTCACATTCCCTCTCTGTTTTGTTCTCCTGTTAAAGTGGAGATGGAAACATTGTGCATTTCCTTGGGTTTCTCTTTTTGTGCTATGAAGTTTATGTAGACCACATGGCACTCCAGTCATCCATCTCGTCCCACTCCTATTCGGTCAGTGGAACTATTCTCAGGCGCTAGAGTTTTGAGGTGAAAGAACATTTTGAACAGAGAGATGGAAATGTTTTACTGGGGCAAAATGCTAATTTTTTTAGTTTGCTGACAGTTTAAACTCTCAGTAGAGCAGAACTCCGACCACTTGTCTTTTACAACTGCTTTACTTCCGGAAGTATTATTTTCCATTTATTCTCACCGTAGGCATTTCAATTTTAAACCATGCACTAAACCAAACAGCTCAGAGATGAATCATAACATAAACTTTGATTCAAAGCCAAAATTATTTTTAAAAATGTGAAAAATTATATTAAATTATTTTTTGAGGAATTGACTACTCATCCCGTACAGCACTGTGAGTGGTGTAATCAAATTAGAAACAAAATAAAGCCTAATTGTAAAATATATATTGACCACAAGAATAAGAACCCGACTGTTGCTCTCTATTTGAAGCCATTTTTCCACTTCTACTTCCATTTTTATCATCCCTTTGTTTAAAATGATCTCTTTGTTTAAAGTGGGATTACTTCCCCAATTCTGTTATTCAGTAACAGCATACTTCTGCTTCTGGATAGCTTCCCAAAGTTAAATCATATCAGTTTTGGACTGCTGTGTGGAGCTCATCAGTCCTAAGAGGCAATGCTTCTTTTTTCCACAGTTATTGCAATTGGGTTTAATAGAGTAAATAAATTGTTTCTTTGATTATTTGATAAAAGGCTGTTTGTTTTGAACGATGTGTTGATTGTGGTGAAGTCCACAGCTGGTCATGGGTGTGGGAAGGATCTGATATGTGACAGGAATGTGAGCTTGGCTCCCGTTGCCTTTGCCTTGGGCAGCGAGGCTTTGATGGTGGGAGAGATATTGGGGTCTTATTGCCTGAGCCCCTCCACCACAAACACTCACCAGTGTTTCCACATGGTCTCTTAACAGAGCTGGGAGTGACAGGACTTCTAATCAGTGAGGCATGCGTGTTAGTTGTGTGTTTGTTCTCTGAGTGAATGGTTAAACGGAATAGAAAAGGTTGTAGTGAAGTAGGGAGATATGCTTTTATAATGATATCTAATCAAGATATTGTAATATTGGAATTCTTTACTCTTTTGAATTTTGGTTGAATACAAATAATTGAGTATGTTGTAAATGTAAATTCACTCTAAATGGTGGTTGTAATATTCTCTAAAGTAATCATGTAAAATAAGTAGCTAACAAAATATTAGGGATGCACAATATATTTGTTATCAGACGTTTAATGTGGACAGGTTCAGACAAAAATGTAAAGGTATCTTCGATATTGCATATATACCAGCTATAATTGTATGCTCATTTCTACTATTTTTGCTATTTTTACCCTATTTGTTTAATTTATTCAAGCATTATCTGTCATCTAATGTTCACTCACTTAAAGTTAGTCTAATCAAACAAAACTAATACTATTATAACACTGTTAAATGTAATCTTTGGTAAATCTCAATGTGAATATACATTTTTAATACTGTTTGATGCCTAAATTCACTTTAAACATTATAATGGTTGCTTTGAGTTTTTATTGTTTCATTGTAATTCATTTAAAGGGGTCCTATTATGCTTTTTCACGTTTTCAACTTTAGTTAGTCTGTAATGTTGCTGTTTGAGCATAAAAAAGATCTGCAAAGTTACAGAGCTCAAAGTCCAATTCAAAAGAAGTTATTTTATTGAACAGAAATCACTTTTCAAAAACTACAACGAATGACTCGTTTGGACTACAACGCATATTTTCCGGGATTTGTGATATCACAAATATCGACGAATGGGACGAGACCTGGTTGAGCTGCACTAGAGAAGGCAACAAGTGTTATCACA